TACGACCTTAAAAAATATTAAATTATAAATATGGTATTAAATGCCATTCACGCTATTTCATACTATGTTTATGTATTACATTTTTATAAAATAAAACTCTGTCATTGTGTTTTGTTTTGGCCGAATAATTCTATTGGCAGCAATACAATAAAAATCAGTGATAATGAATGTAAAACCAACAAAATGGCTGAATTTATATGCGCTAAAAACATTTGTATCTTGACAATGTAGACGACCGGGGCCCGTAAATTTGCACACCAAATAAGTGAATTCAGGCAGCATCAAGATAGAGCTTAAAATATTTGTCATAGTCTGCAGTATCGCACATTTAAATCTAGACACGACCAACTTTTCACTATGTTCGCTAGTATGGTTCCCAAAAACCACCTCGTTTAAATCCGCAGACACGCGTCGCGATTTCTGTTTCCTTGTTTTATATTTTATTTTCTTGTTTTCAGGACATGGCACCTGCGGTGATGTTCCATTTGGGACACAGAGGCAAAGGAAAAAACACAGTTGGAGATGTCTTTAACAGATTTTTGAGTCAACGTTTTTGTGTTGCGATTTGTATTGTGTTCTTTTATTATTATCTTCTTTTTTTTTTACACACTTTCCAGTGCAACTGGCCTCCCCCCTTCATTTACATTTGTTTCATCCTATTATCCTGGTTAACCGGCCCGTTCTCAGCACTCCAGAGCTATATAGCCATATAGCTCCACGGCTCCACCGTCGTGCCATTTGTCAAGTTCTGCTCCCAACTTTAGCCCGCGGCTTTTTGTAATTACACAACTCTGGGTGAGGAGAAAGACAAAAAGGGGGGAGATGGTTGGTAGTTGGGGGTAGGGGATTTAGCCGGGTAAATGAAAGCGGCTTAAAAAAGCAGAGCGTTGGGGTTTTGTGGTGCTCGTTAAAATTTGTTGCTCTCATTTCGATTGTTGCTGTGGTTGTTCAACTGTTGTTGTTCGCTTCTGGGGTCTGGATTCTGGGATTGTTGTTTGCGCCGCTGTTGCCGATTTTAGTGCGATTCCGTTGGCCCAGCAGGCATAAAAGTTCAGCCGGGATTGGAAGGTATTACGCTTAAATATGCGAACCGAAACGGATTGGAAAAGCTCGCATGAAGTTGCCCGACCATGATTCATGATTCCCTCTCTCGATGGGCACTTTAATGTTCATTCAATTTTCCAGATCCCAACAATTAAGAGTTTTTAATCATCGACTAGCCCGCAAAATGGTGGAGGCCCAAAAGTTCCCCAGCTGGTTTTGTTGGATGGCCTTTGTATGGCTCCATTATGCGGTTGATTTACTACCCAAACAGCTGTGAAATATCATGGCTCTCTGGGTGGCCACTTGACCGATGCCAAACGGAACGGAAACGGGTCAAAAGGATTCGCCCATATGCCCATGTATATCTCTCTTTAAAGTTGTTGGAAGTTTAGATACTAGAGTTATAATGGGCATGAAGTTTTAATAGGAAATGGTGGTGAGGTTTAAAAAAAAATTTAATTTTGGGACCTTTTTTGATATTCTATTAAAGTTTGATGATAAAAAGTTGCCTATAACAATAACTCAAAATACGCAAGGAAAATATTTTTGCTTTTTCATTATACTTATTTTAATATTTTGCCCTAATTTTTTTAATGTTGTTTATAAATATATAATATTATCGTTGAAATCTCAATAAAATCTTTTATTGGGTGACATTTTAAGCTGGATCCATATAATGCCTTAGGGTTGTTTTTGGAATGGGAAGTCTGATGTGGTTAGCTAGTTAGCTCCTCTTTTGGATACGTTTAATATAAAAAAATAGATTTCAAACGCTTAAGATAATGTTAACAAATAATATGGGCTGGGAGAAAAATAGTTTCATATATTATATGTAAAAAAAGTTGAATTTTTCTTACCCCTTCCCATTCGTAAAGTCCCCACGTTATGTATCAAACCACTATAAAGATTTAAAACTCCCCGAGTAATGAGTGCATTTATTATCCATTTACTGTAGCGAGTTAATGCTGTGATCCCTGGCTTATCTTTGCTTGAACGCAGCAGCAGCTTGTTTACACCCATATTTATCAATGCTGTCCGCAATAAGACTTCGACAGTGCTACGAAACGCCCCATCTCACGCAGAAAGTTTTGAGCAACTCGGCTAGATAAATCAAGTGGCATTAGGACGGGTTTTCTGGCGATGCTGCTGCGGCAAGATAAATAAATTAACTCGTTCAAGTTGGCTGACAGATGGACTTAGTGCCATCATGATGGGACAGAGCCATCATTCCCTATCCTGGCACTGCAAACAAACAAGTCGTAAAAAACGCGTGAATCCCGGCTAATTTATGGCTAATTAAGTTGACGCAACTTTTACGCGTGGCAAGAAGAAGACAGAGGGGAATCCCCATCAGCAACATATGCCACGTGCTTTCAGGCAGTTATGTCATTTGTGTTTTGAAAAGCGGCTTGGAGCTTACATATATGTAGGGTACATTTATGTGTGCACCCATTATTCCATTACACTCAGCGAAACAAAGAGCACGTCCTGTACTCGACCTACTCGTGAATACCTACTTAATTAAGTAGCCTGTTATGAGCAGCTTACCATCGTAATACATTTTTATGATCGCAAATGGAATTATAACTGCTGGGCATATGACTACACAGAACTCAACCCACTTTTATTTTCATCCTTGTACCCATTGCGTTTGCAGGCTGCTAAGGTACACTGAGAAAAATATGAAATGTTGTTGAAAATAGTAACTAAATTTTATTAAAATTAAATATTAAGTAGATTGTGGGAAATATTAAATATTTGTTATCAAATTTAATTTTTAAAATATTTTTAATAGTTGGATAGCGATGGGAAGATGTTCTTTTAGATCTCTATTTTTGCTCTCTGTACTTACACACAATGCCATTACTAGGGCATAGGTTATGGTCGGATGGGTCAGTCGGAGCCCTGTAGACAGACTCCGGGGTGCGAGAGGATTGTTTAGGAGCCTTCACAACATACAGAACTTGTGGGGACTGTGCAACATAACCGTACATCCCGTCCCTACTGTCGGGGTAATTTCGTAGACAAACATCATTGGCATTTCTGTTTGAAGGCTCTGAGTGCCAATTAAGTGAACGTGGCTGCCCCACCTGAACCGCCGGACGGATGGGTGAATGGATGAGAGTACTCGACCCCAGATTGTACAGGATTCTGCACATATATAGATGATATCGATCTGAGCCGGAATAATACTCCCATTGGGTGCTGCTAATGTCATTTCTGTCTGAAAGTGTGAACATTTTAATCATGTCATTAAGGCAACTTGAACTTAATTAGGTTTAAGATATGAATGTTGTCATTGAATTAATATATTTTATCAAATTGGATTTTAATTTAATTTCGAATTAATGGTGACCAGCTAAATTGGTTGTTATCTGATAAACACAGAAATCAGCAGACAGCTTTATTTTACAGTCCTGTTTTTCCTAGTTTTCTTTGGTTAGCCGTCGGCGGTGACTTGGTAAACTTGGCCATCAACACGTAGTCTCATTTGGAATACTTTAACCACACACACAAGTCATCAAAAACCCCAGCAGAGTTGGCTGGCCACGTGCCGAAAAGCCCCCAAGATTCGCCCACTCCTCCAGAAAGGGATTCTTCTGGGTGGGACTGGAAGAGAGCTTTTAAATTAAATCACAAAATGAGGATAGAGCGACTAAGGCAACCGAGGCTGCCGCTAAGCCAAATAAATAAACCCTTTGGCCGCAGTCCTTGGTGTCCTTGCTCCTTGAAGGCGCATCCTCCTTGGGAGAGATAAAAGTGAGGACAGGAAGTCAACTTGCCAGTGGTTCAAAGGAAGGGGATGTACAGTAGCCAAAATGGTAGTTTCAGTGGTGAATAAATATGGATTATTTATAAAAAAAACATGGAACCGTATATCTATATGTTCATTTTGAATTTTGCAAGTCATTATTATATTTTTTGGATTCGGATTTAAGACTATTTAATTTAAGTGTACGGAGTTTAGTATAAAGTTTTTGGTAAAATAAAAACAATATTAATCATTTTTATAGGGTGTTCAAATTTTATTTAAATTATGGTTATTAATGTATTTTTATACTAATGCCAAAAAAAATGTATTTTATTTTTATCCCACTGTAATACGGTAGAAAGCGAAGTAGATGACTTCTCGATGTGCCCGGCGATTCGGTTGCCAAAAGGACACACGGAGACCGAAAGGGATAATGGCATGAAATCCAGCAAAATGAAAAGAAAGCGGCAAATCATGTTAAGAGATTTAAATTGGATTAGTCGACATGTGTGTGAGTGGGTGTCTATCCTTGGCGGCGTCAACTGGCGGTGGCCGTGAAGCCCGGTTTTTTGCCCCTGGCTGTGGATATCCTGGCACGGCCGCCACTCGCTCATCTTGACATCAATTTCGTCACTTGATTTCCCTTTCTTTTTTCTGCTTTTTTTTTTTTTGCATTTTTCCATGACGGGCCCCTGTGCTTTTATTTATTTTGTATGCTTGACACAATTCCACGTCGAGGGCTTACGGCTCGAGTGTCTCTCCGGTCCTCGATGCCATTCACTCGCCCAGTATCTGCTCTTTCGCAGTCCCCACCGGGGGTTCCGCCCAGGTTCTGCATCTGACAACTAACCAGCCTCCCACGATTCGGGCGGAGGTCACCTTCCATCATCGTCTGTCGTGGGGATAACCGGGAGGTTCCAGTTTGCCACCCGGAGACAAGGCGTCAGGTTGTGTCAGCATTGGAACCCAATAAAACTGGGTTTTACATTCAAGTTCTAATTCAAATTCTGGATAAACGGATGTCAAGTATATAGAGAAAATAGCAGAGCCACAAAGGTAATCAAACATGTGTTTATCCAATATATGTATATAGGAAAAGCAAAATTTTTACAGAATTTATAGTAACTATAAACGGCAAACCAATGTATTCCTAAATATTTATTAAAAGTATTTCGAATTTATTTGACTTTAAAAAAAACAGCAGACAAAACTTGTATAATGATTTTTGGATTTGGCGCCTAGCTTTAAAATAAGATACAAAATATATTCCTTAAAATATTACTCGGTTTTGGGCTCCGGCTTCTTGCGATATTTTACCTGGGAAGTATAGATGTCGTATCCCAGACTAATGGTGTTGTCGTAGAACACCCTGTACTGCGGTCTTATCAGCAGGAAGTTTATGAACTGCGCCAAAGGCCACACTGTCCATTCGGCCGCGTATAGGATAAGGGCCTTATCCTTGATCTCCTGCTTTAGCTCCTCCCACGTATTGTCCTCCAGAATGGCCATGGTAAGAAAAAACACGGCGATGTAGAAGGGCGAGCAGATGAGCTGATCCAATAGGATCTTGATTATGACCACCTTATAGGTGCGATGGGGGTACAGGTAGTCCAGGTATTGGTACCAATAGTGGCATACCAATCCTACCGTAAACCCGGAAATGCCCATACGCACAGTTCGTATACGGTTCCATTCCGGCAGTTCCCCTATAAAGCGTTCGTATGACTGCTCCATGGTATCGCCCACCATGCTCAAGCCAACGGAGACGCCAATGTTGGTGTAAAGGAGATACTTTGGACTAAAGGCAGCCTGGTGAAACCGGTCAAGAGTCTGAGCCAACCGCTTCCATTGCAATCTTCGGGCCATCTGGAATACCAATGATGCCTCTTTGGATGGGCGTTGCCATGCCAATTTATCCTAGCAACACATTATTGTAACCTCAAATTTTGGATTCGACCTAAAAAAATATTTTCGAATTTCTAACGACATATACGGCATAGAGACATTTTTAAGATTTGATGTAAACTTAATAGAATCGAATTATATTTTTCCGAATAAAGATTTCTCTTAGTCTCTATTAAATAATATTATCACCCATAATATTTATGCACTCCCTCAAAAATTCATTGTTTAAATTAATTAAAAATAATATAATGTAGTTCTATTCGTATATTTTAGTTTTTGACACCAATTTAATTTTTGATGACTTTTTTGTTATCAAAAGAAATTTCACGCCAGGCAGACAATCCTTTCCAAACCGGCAACAAATTCCAATCAAAATTTTAATCAAAATGCCGCAGGAATGCTTATCTATAAATTTGTTAAAGATAAACCTCAGACCGCAGCTAGAAATCTGAACGAAAGGATTCAAAAAGGATGGAGGGAGTTTGGCATTTAGCTGGAAAAACAAAGGCAAGCAAACAGGCAATGAAATCAATTTGGCGCCAGCAACACGAAATGAGTTTTCGCAGGATTTGTTGAGGTAGCCTAAGCTTCTACTTATATCTAACGCCTAAGGGCTAAGGACTCCCTCCGCCGATGAAAGGATCCAAAAGGGTAGGCCACCAAAACGCACAGGGCAAAAAAAAAATGGTTTCGCTTGGCATTCAAATGAGGCTTTCCCCCCGCTCGATAATCCCCTACCCACATGTTGCTCGTGTACCATCCCTATATTTCGGGGGATGTGTTTTTGGGGTGGGGTCTTGACGCCTCCGGGTGTCGGGGAGTTAATACTACCAAATCATTTGCACGCGATTCCCAACCGCAGATCCCCCGAACGCAGAACCCCTTTGCACCCCTTGGGGAAATCATATGTGCGGGTGATGGCCGCCCTCTTTTTGGGGCCCCCCTTTCGGGGCCAGTGAATTGAAAAATATTTACGGCCTTCTACAATCTACGCTAAAATCCAATTTTATTTTTATATTTCGTCGAAATCCGCCATAAAACCGGGCTCCCCACCCGGTTCCGGCTGTCGATTCAAAAAAGCGGCAACCGTAAATTCAGCTTTGCAGTTTGTTTGCTGGGCTTGTTGGGTTTGTTGGGTGGGTTAGGATCCCCCCATATCAACTGATTCTGACAGAATCGGAGGTCGGGGTGTCGGCATTTGTTTCATTAGTACCGCGATACACACATGTATTTACTGTTCTCCCAATTCGAGGCATTATTTGCAGGCGTTAAATATGCGAATTTTGGAAAATGACAGAGTGTCAGAGGGCAGCGAATGGAAAATAATATACGTGAATTCAAAATGGAAAATACTAAACGAAAACGTCTGGCACAATTAAAACGGTATGTGTACATTGCTGCCAAAACAATTGGGAAAGATTAATTGGAAACGAAATATAACACCATAAAAGCGTAAAACAAAAATGATTATAGTACAAATCATTGTTTTGAAAAACATTTAACTTTTGTTATAAAAGCTTTTGATCCTTTTTCCACAGCAAAACATATATGGGAAGTTATAGTGCTTGTCTTTTAAAGTATGTTGAAAACAAGAATTTTCTTTCGCATTTTTAAAAATTAAACTATTTTGTTTGTTAAATCACTCTATTATGTCTACAAACGTTTTTCCATCAAAAATGTAACACAAAGTGTACTCATGTTTTCTCAGTATAGAAACCAGTTTTACGCCTTCCTTTTCAATGGAATGCTCTTAACAACAAACTGTACTTTTATGGTCCCCAATTTCTGTTCTCGAAACAGTCCCAAAATTTGTTACTTTAAAAGGGTCGACAACGATAAATGCTGATTCGGTGGGTTCCGGCGCAGGACCTGCGTCACAAAAGCCTTCTAGGTCTAATTCTTTGTGCAAATGAAATGTGCTTACAGCACTCGGCTATTTACATACTGGCACTTCCAACCGTAACCCTTTGGGAACACCCGAGAGATATGCGGTTGCTATATTGTGTCGCCTGTCCCGAGGTCCATGGAAACATGAGTAGGTCTAGCTGGATGGTCGCCAGGTTCATAGAGCGTGGCAAAAAACAAACCAAAAAAAAAGAAAAACAATAAAAAAAAAAAAAGTGAAAGCAAAAGCAAAAGCGACCATGCCGGGCGAATGCATTTTCATAGTTTTTCCCACTTTGTTATGCTGATTTTTCACATTTTCATTTCCTTTCGTTTTTCCTGCCATCCAGCCTTGTTCGTTCCGCTCTCAATTTTTTCCCTGGCACGAAATGTTGCCGGGTTTTCGGGTTTTAGGGCTGTCGAGTTGTGGGGTTCCGAGCATGTGTGCATTTTAATTGAATTTTTCATTTCGCTCAATAAAAGCAAAAGCCGAATCTGCGAGCCGCAAAAAGTGTCATAATCCTCCTCGTGTCCTTGGACCCGTTAAATTCAATGCACTGGGCTTGGGACTCCTGGAACTCAGTACTCCCTTCTCTATACTCCATAAAAGTCCGGCGATTCGGTTGATTTACTTAAATGGAACCTAAGCATTTGCTTTAATACATATTGCAAATCACTCTCTAATTGATTTCGAATCGATTTCGAATGGCGTTTTAGTTCATGTTTAGACTGCCGTTCGGCTTCATTTTCCACTGGCTGCCTCGACTTCAATTTATGCAAATTAAATCGAAATGTGATTTTAATGGTATTTCAGCACGACCAGGCCAAAATGATGATGAGTGTGCTCGCCAAATAAATGGAAGTCAAAAAGTTTATTTAGCTCTGTGTGTGTTCAGAAATCCGTGCAACGGGGAATCCGCTCCACCTAGCCAAAGGAAGCCAACTATAACCGCATGTTCCGTTCCGGAAAACTAACTTATTCAATTAGTGGATGGGAAACTTTGGATGTTTGCACTACACAGAAAACAAAACAAGAGTCTAGCCTCATTACAAAATTTTAAAAAAAAGTCAATGTTATTTTTGATTTTGCAAAAATTTCTAAGATTCAGTTGTTTTTAACTTTCAGTGTAGGCATAAAAACCAACTGTTCTAATATTATTTTAATTATAAGTTAAAAATGATACTACTTTTTTTACTAACCAAAAATTTGTTATCTTTATCTTATTCAGTTCTTGTTTATTATACCTTTAAAGATTATTTTTATCCGGTTTGCGTTACGGTTGATTGGTAAAAATAAAGTATTGCAGCCAACCAAACAACTTCATAAATCACATATAAAAATGTATGTATATTTTTGTTTGAGAAATATAAATATCCCGGTCAACATGTTTTATCATCAACATTTTCTGAAAACTTCTTTAAAAAAAATTCATGCAAATTGGATTTTTTTTGGGTAAATGCTGTAGCACATTGTTGAAAGATTAAAATATCCAACAAGCATTGGTAAAACAGTAAAATGTGGAATTAAATGAATTTGAGCTCCTTCTAATAAACAAACGTGTGTCAGTTTAGTTAAATAATTGTTTTTGACTTCGAAGCAAACGGAATTGCAAAGGATCACAGTGAATGCCAAAGGTCAATTGACTTGACTCGAGCAATGAACCGGTTGTGGGTAAAGGAACTCCCGGCATATTTGAATTGCACCGCCGAGGAAAATAAGTCAGCTCACCGTTAACGTAAACGAGCAAATAGCCAAACAGTCAACACGACAGCCACGCCACCCGCAACCCGCCATTCGTGCCAATTTCGTTAAAGCAAGTGCAAACAAACAACAACTCGGGACCACCCCAAAAACCCAAACACGAAACAAACAGAGCCACCCCATTCTGCACAGGCTGTCTGGTCGATGCACGAAAACAAAAAGAGCAACAAGGTGGGGGGAGGGGGGCAGAGGATGACAGGATGACAGGTGTCCTGGCTCGACGTACATGTGCACTTGAAAAAATATTTCACTAATATCAAACTATCAGTAATTTAAGTCATGATTAAAAAAAGTAGAATATGACTTGTAGTCGCTTTAAAAATTGTTACAGTCCGCTGAACTTGTTAAAAATTATTTTCCGAATTTCGTAACTTCGATTACAAAATACATATATGACAAGCCTTAAGACTTTATAAATTGAGACACCAATATTTTGAAGAAATATCTTTTCCGTTGATGCTTTGCATTAACTTATTTCGAATAAAAAGCATTGGAATATTTTCGAAGAATTTTGTATATTTATTTTTTGCTTTTTACTGAATAATCTGTTGTTCACCAGCAATTTTCAGTTTATTATTAACTAAAAACATTAGGTAAGTGTTTGAAAAACTACTAATGCTGAACACCCAACAAAATTACAAAAAAATTCAAGAACATTTTTTTGATTCAAGAACAATCTGCTCTCATTTTTCGTTCATACAAAATTTGTTCTTGACAAATTTGGCATGGTCTACAAATTTAGTTACGATCTTTTTGGGAATATTTTTTTTTTGAACGGTGTTTTCTCTGGGTGTACACTTTATTAACCTGCAGTTTCTCATTGTGTGGATGCCTTATTATCGTGGGTAGAACACAGCTGTTGATGAGGCGCAAAAATGTCATACATCATGCGACACGCGATGTCGGGTTGGGAGGACATCAAGATGAGGACCCTGGCCGCCTGCTCCACGTCTGGATCTGTCCGTCTGTTCCTGATGCGGAACGAGATGAAATTGGCTGGGGTCGGCAAAGCGGAGCAAAACGGCAGGCATGCAGAAAAGACGGTCGCGGATTTGAAACTGAGATGGATCCACTAACGACAGAAACGAAAAGTGAGTGCTGCCCCGAGGATGGGGCTCTTCGGCAGGCAGGCTGCATCATCACCTTCTGCAGTACTTTACCATTATTATCAGGATATACAGATGGAGGAGGAGGAGGTGGAGGAGTCTCCTATCCTTGCCAGGATAGGTATTCACGCCCAGCTAAGTGGCACACGAAGCGTTAAACTATTAAGCACATGTTGCCACTCGGCGGGTGATTCATGAACGGGTGCTGCAGGATCTGCGTCACGCACAGGAAGTGCTCTCTCTCGCCGCCTTTGTTATGCGGCTCAAGATAAATCATGCACATAAGTCCTGGGCTATGTCTCCGTGCCGTGAGATTACTACATAAATTCAGCT